TATGTTATGGGACTTGTTGGGATATTCAGACGTGGTCCTGAGGGGCTCGGGCATGTTTCAGATTGATTTCAGGCTATTTTTCTTCATGTTCTTACTGATGGTTCTGCTGATGTCTGGTGCACCTAGTGTTCTTCGCGATCACAGATTGAGGGATGCGATCGCGTAAGGAAAAATTTGAAGATGAGTAGTTCCTCCTTCACGTTCGTGAGTAGCTTTACGCGTTCGGGAGTAGCTTTATACGTTCGCATTATTTTTTGGAGATTGGGCATCGCGTTCACATGATTTAGCCCGCCTTCGTGTAGTGGTGAGTTGAGAAGCTGGGGGAAGAAATTTCTTATTCACGTTCACATTGTTTTTGTGGCGATCATGTAGTAGAGGTTCCTGTGTTCTTCGCATTCCAAGGTGATGCTTCACGAACGCATAGTGTATTTTTTAGAGGCTGTTGAGTTTGTTCTTCACGATCGCGAAGGATATCCCTCGATAGATAGAGTATTCTTGCCTAGTGATTATAAAGTACTCTATTTTGGGGGTTTTGGCCATTTTTTCATAATTGGAGCTATGGAGCTCAGAATGAGGCAATTTTTGAATAAATTTTCACCATATGGATTGGGCTAAGTGTTCTCTACTCATTTTTTATTTTATATCATGCATTTATCTTCATTTCAGCATTTGATTGAGGGTTCCAAAAGAGAAATTGGGGGTTTTAGCCTAAATTTTTCATAATGTGAATTCTAGAGTTTTGAACATCGAATCGGTGTCGGATTTGAGTGAAACTAGTATGGTTGGACCTATAATTGAATGGGTTGCAGGATTTTGTGAGTTTGTTGGGTTCCGAGGTGCGGGCCCGGGTTTGATTTTTTGGCCGATTTTGGGCTTTTGATTAAAAATTCAACCTTTATCGATCGGGTTTGTTTCCTTTGGCATTATTTGATGTATTTAAGTTTCTTTTGGCTGATTTTGAGCCATTCAGAGGTCGGTACACGCGAGATGGCATTGTGGAGCATCGTTGGGCTTGCACGATATTGGATTTGGCTTGTTCGAGGTAGTCGCACTTCTAAACTTGGTGCTGAGGACATGAAACCCTAAATTACATGTTATGTGTTTAGTGTTGAGGTAACACACATGCTAGGTGACGAGCGTGTGGGCGTGCACCGTGTGAATTGTGACTCCGTTATTCCTGTGATACTGTATAGTTACCTAATCTTATCTATAACCATGAAATATCTATGTACTAGAGCTATTGAGTTGTGATCCATGTTAGAAACCATGTCAAGGCTATATGCCTATATTTTTGGGACACTAAGGTCAATTGTGCTGTTGAGTTATTCTCTTTCATTGCATTATATACTCAGTCATACACATTCATATGCATATCATATATCGGTTTCGGTTAACATTTATTGATACATCACATTATTATTTTTGGGTTGATTTTTAATGATATTAAGAGCCCGAAAGACTGGAGAGGTTGATGACTAAGTGAGGCCGAGGGTTTGATGGTGTGGATGTTTATGGGATCGGGCTGCACGCCGCAACATATTTTATTGATTTATGGCATGATTTTCTTGGTATAGGGCTTGGGCTGAAGGATCCCCTTCAGAGTCTGTACACACCCCAGTGAGAGTCGGTACCTATTGAGTGCGATTTCTAGTGCTGAGTGACGAGTGATTGGGAGGACTGAGTAACTGTGAGGACTGAGTGGCTGTGAAGACTGAGTGGCTGTGAAGATTGAGTGACTGTGAGATTTGAGTAATTGGGTGGACTGAGTGCATTGATGCATTGAGAGTATGCATATGGTTTTATCATTACATGGTATAGTTGGCATGCATACATTGACATGTGGGCATAGAGATGTATTTTTCTTATGCCATTTGAAAATGAAACATTCACCTGTTGAAAGCCTTTAAGGAAAAATCACAGTTTTCAAACTTACTCATATTGTTGGTGATTTCGGTAAAAGATATGGTTTTTACTAATATACTTGAAAAGCGGGCCTATTTTCTGAAACTGTGAACGAGCTGAGCATTTTATCTCTGAGTTACTTCTTTTGTTACTTTCATTATGTTGTTATGAAGTGTTGTTGTCTATTGGTTTTGGACTCTGACCCTTGTCCCAGCTCGGCACTACTCTCAACCTAAGGTTAGGTTTGTTACTTATTAAGAACATGGGGTCGATTGTACTCATACTACATTTCTATACCTTGCACGTAGATATTGGATGCTGATGTTGCTGTGATCGACATGAGTTGGAATTGAAGATATACATGTGTCCCAGTAGTAGCTGCATCTTGTTCATGATAGCCTTAGATTTAAAAAATCGGTTTAAGTACATTTCATATAGATGATGTATTTATTTCATACCAGCTTTGTTAATTCTAATATTAAGGGAAATGTATAAGATTTAGATATTCCTCCTCCTCCTCCTCCTCCTTCTTCTTCTTCTTCTTCTTCTTCTTCTTCTTCTTCTTCTTCTTCTTCTTCTTCTTCTTCTTCTTCTTCTTCTTCTTCTTCGAGTTTCAGTATGATATATAGCCAAAATCAGCTCTAATTTTCACCAAACACCCTAAAAATTGAGATATAAACTCCAAAAAATATTTGCAACACCTTCACAATTTATTGATTGACATTTTTAATTATAACACCAATTGTGCAATATGAAACAAAAATGCTAAGTTAAAACTGTATAGTAAAATGATTTAAGTTATTGATGAATTCCCTGGGGAAAAAAGGATAAACTAAATAAGAAAAGAGAGAGAAACAGAGAAAATCGAAGGAAGAAAGAAAGGGTTGGGAAAAGAACACACAGAGAGAGAGGGTGAGAGAGTGAGAGGGAGATCGAAGAGAGAGGGTAGGGAATAAATGATATTCTCTACTCAATTCCTAACATAAAGGGATACTCATTAATACCAATTTGTATATAATTGGTAAAATGTATATCAATGTATAATTAACTTCCCTAAACACTGAGGGTAAATAAGTTTCTAATGTAATACATATTGGTAAAAATTTGGGGTAAAAAAAAGGACGAGGTAGAAATTTTGATGATAAAAGACGCAAAAAAAAAATAATGCTACGACGGGCTTTTATTGAGTTACATTAACATAAATTTTAGGCCCTTTAGGCCTTTTGAGTAATATTAATTGTTTCGATATATAATATTTCAAGTATAGCTGGCAAATCGTTGAGAATTTCTCCCCGTAAAATTACCTAGAACATCTTAGTCGCCTCTGAATATAAATTTTTTTAAACATCCTCAGTATTATGTATCTTTGACTTCTCTAAATTATAGATTTTATAAAGTATCTTTATGCAAAACGACCTTAAGGGGAAAAAATAAAAAAGTACCTAAAATCATGCCAAGATATTATATAACTCTGCAGTGGATTGCAGAAACATATATTAATTTAATAGCCAGAAGTTACATATAATCTCTTTAGTAGTTTAATTAAACTTTAAGATGAGATGATTATATAATGTTAGAGCAGGCAAGATGTTCTAAGTTTAAATCTCACCCTTAATTAAGAGAAAAAATTGTTTATGTGCTTGACCGATAAAAAAAATTAGGTTTTTTTTAACATGAAAGTTACTTATATTAAACATAACTAGGGCTCATGCCCGTTAACATTGTCATTAGTACATATGCCATCATAGGATAATATTATGCCTTGTAAGGCATTGTCATTACCTAAAGCAGCCATATGACCACACTGGTCCCTAAAACAACTTCTAATATATATATATGTATATATATATATCCATCCTGATCTTTATCATAGACATCTATAACAAATTCAAGTGGTAAAACAAAGATACATAATTTATTGTAGCTACGTTGCATTAGAGCTGCTTTCGCCAAAAGATGAGCCACCATATTCCCTTCACGGAAGCTATGCTTAAATGTGATTGTCCCTTGCCTGGATGCCTCGTCCATTAACCACCTGCTTTCATAAATTAAGTTATTGTAAGTTGGGTATTCATCCTGAAGAAAACGTATGACGTCTGTGGCATCAGTTTCAACTTCAACTGGGAATATGTGTTCCCTGATAATTAGTTGAAGTGCATGCCGAAATGTTTGAAGTTCTGTTTGTATTGGTGATGTTGCTTGAATTTTCTTGTGGTAACCTGTCCGCCATTGTTCCTTATAGTCACGAATGACTCCGCTGATACCTCCTTCCAGATAGTTGCTTCTGAAGGCATCATCAATATTAACCTTAAACCAGCCTCTTGGTGGGGGCTGCCATTTTTCATTAATCCTTATGATTTTGTTGTAAGTATAGACCCTGGATGTGAGAAATGTGTATTCCAGTGTTTGATCAAGCATTAGGTTTAGACATAAAATAATTAAGTAATTCAGAGCATAACATTCCTAATAATTTAGTAAATAAAATGATAATACTATTCAATATATAAAAGTTTATCGGTATCAGATGCAGGGGCGGACCTAGTGCATAGACTACGGGTTTCCGGGAACCCAGTAACTCTTGCGTAGATCCTATATTTATATTAAGAAATTCACTAAATATTGGTAAATATCTGACTGTGAACCCAGTTATTATTGCATATTAATCTGAAATTACGGTAAAAACCCATAAGCTTCAAATTCTGGATCCGCCTCTGTTCACATTTACTTGTAATTTGTAAAGATGAAGGAAATAACAAATATAAAATAAAAGCAGATTGATAATGTCTTTGTCCAATTTTGGTCAGATAACCAGTTATTCTTTACTTTGACCAAAGTCCCAAGCAATCACATCGTGAGAAAGCATGACTAATTAACAACGACCAATCTTATTCCTTGGCTCAATCATAAGGCTTCCAGATTTCCACTCTCCAGTCTCCAGTCTCCAGTCTTCGTTATCCTTCCATTACTTCAATGCATTAGCCGCTTTCTCTTACCACACAAGTAAACTCTCTACCTTCTCGACTCCACACCTCTCCATTTAGTATCACTTTTTTAATCAGAATTCCAAAGAACTAACAAAATTGAGAAACCAAAAGATCATGGAAAATATTGAAGTCCCTGAGTATTTCATTTGTCCAATTTCTTTACAAATCATGAAAGATCCAGTGACTGCCATTACAGGAATCACCTACGATCGTGAAAGCATAGAACATTGGCTTTTCAAGAACCATAATACCATATGTCCAGTTACTAAGCAGCCTTTGCCAACAGACTCTGACTTGACACCAAATCACACTCTCCGCCGTCTGATTCAAGCATGGTTCATAGCAAATGGAGCCAACGGTATTGATCGGATTATAACTCCAAAGCCTCCTGCAAGCAAAGTCTATGTCCTCAACCTCGTGCTTGATCTTTCGGTCACCAGATCGAAGATTAGGGCGCTAGAGAAGTTGGAGTTGCTGGCTAAGGAAAATGAGAGGAACAGACAGTACATGGTTGAAGGTGGAGTTCATAATACCCTAGTTAGTTTCTTCATCCAATGTTACAAGAAACGTGATATAAATGGTCTTGAAAAAGCCCTTACTATTCTTTCTTTGATCTGGAATATTTCTTCTTGTGAAACTAAGGTCGAAAATCATGAAGAAATAGTAGATCCGATTATGTGGGCATTAGGTCTTGACCACGAGACGCAAAATCATGAAGTAATAAAAAACCATGCAATGTGTGTGTTGAGAACTGTCATCGGTAAGGCGAATTCGGGGACATTAGAGAGGTTGAGACCTGAGTTTTTCAAGAAAATGATAGAGTTTTTACGTGAGAGTAGTATCATCACTCAAAAAGGACTTGATGCTGCTTTACATGTCATGTTAGATACTAGTTCTCTGAGCAGAAACCGAAATATGATGATTGAATCAAGGGCAGTGTTCGAGCTCATCGAGCTCGAACTCAAATTTTCAAATAAAAAGACAACAGAGCTCATTCTAGGGATACTATTCCATTTGTGTTCTTGTGCAGATGGAAGAGCGCAACTTCTTAGTCATGCTGCTGGAATTGCTATGATCACAAAGAGGATTCTGAAAGTGACTCCCACTGCAGATGTACGAGCTATGTCGATTCTTTCGTTGATTTCCAGGTATTCTGCAACATGTGGAGTGCTTCAGGAGATGTTGAAAGTTAAAACTGTGTCAAAGCTTTGCACGGTGCTTCAAGCAGATTGTCCTTCACATCTCAAGGATATAGCAAGGGAAATCCTAAGAACACATTTTGATGTTTGGAAGAATTCACCCTGTGTTGAAGTTGCTACCTTAACAAGGTATGCTTAATAATTAATTATTACAAAGAATTACAAATTAATATCCGAACAATTTTGTACATGCATGTTACTTGAAACAACTTTTGATCTCATTTAATAATGTTAATGGTTGAAATCATTTGCAAGTAAATGAAGAACTTTATTTCAAGTGAAGGATCCACTTGTATAGATGGCTAATAGGACAGATCTCAAGTGTTTGGTAGTTCTTATCGTTTCATGAATTAAAACAATCTTGACTTGGTATGTTGTTCAATTAATTTGTAAGGCTCAAGGTAGATGCATGTTTTGAGCATTTCTAACGAATATAATTCTGATTTATAATAATAGAATAGAATTTTTCAGCAGCTTAAAAAAAGAAATTAAGAAGTTTTTTTAACTTCTTCTGTTTATTATCTTATTAGCGAATGTCTTTTATATTATAAGTAAATGTAGATTGTGGAGTACACCTTAAATTAATTTGCAATCCAACTACTTTATATATTGTTAATAAGAGTTGTAAGCTTGTTCTAATTTAGAATTTACTAGATACAAAATTTCCCAACAACGGGCTGTTTCATTTGAAGGGGTGTAGGATTGCATAGCTTGTCAGACTGAATATTTTATTTTATAAATTTAATACCTTATAAGTTCGATGAAGCTTGACTTTGTCGGTTTAATTTGTTGGTCTCGAGGTAGGTGATATTACTCGTATTTCTGATCTGAATTTCTTCCATGACTTGTGCAAGTAATATAGGTATTAATTAATAATTTGGAGTCAAAGTACGCATTCTAATATACAAAAGGGGGACCAAAGAAACTTTCTATCGGTTTTTGGATATATGGCTTTTCTACTATTTGAAGAAAAAGCATTTGTGGTAGTCCCTTTGATTTACTTTATCTGTTCAACAATTTCCCTTCAATTAATTTCTTAGTGCAATTGTTATCATGCGATTTGCATTTCTATCTCAATGGATTATGTATGTGATCAAGTTTTTCAAAGGGAAAATCATAATATTTCAATCTTTAAATAAGACAGTGAGATTTCACCCGTAAAATGATACAATTAAATTTATTATTTGGTTTATAAACAAGCAAACTGATTTGATCCAAAATAGCAAATAAACTAGAATAAAATAAACTTAGCGTTAAAATCAACGAAAACAACAGGTTTGACTCCGGGAGCAATGCCTTCGAGGACAAAGTAACAACAATATAAAAAGCAAGTTAGTTGGTTTAGCTTGAGAATAGACCGTAGCATAAGTTTTGCCAAGAATTTGCTCCCTTACAATGGCCGTTGAGTCTATGATTTATAGTTATACCTAGGGAAACAAGATCCGAGGATCAAGCCCCTCTTAAATGAAAATAAAAAGAGGTCATTGATGAATATGTAACGGTAGCCCATGAATATAAATATTCTCCGCAACGACTGCTCATTTAATGCCTGGGAATATCCTTCATTGAATGATGTTTGATGGCAAGCATTTGATTCTGCATCCCACGTTGATCATATTTCCTTCGGGGTCAGCCCCATTTCACTTGCTTCTGTTGTTTCCGGTATTGGTTGCTACGCAATTTACTTTCTACCCGTCTTCTATTTCACGTGTTATGTTGTCACTCGATCATTTAATGTAAACTAATTGTATCGTATACAGATAGTCCCCCTGCTTTCCAGTGGTATATCTTTGTGTCACCGAGAAGTTGTTGAAGATTTCTTTCTTGGCGGAAAATCTTCTAAAAACCTTCTGAAAAGTCATTGACGCTTGAAATGGCGCATGTCTTATCACATTTAATATCCCGAACACGTGTTTCCTCATGATTTAGCAATATTTTATCTGATTCTTGAGGTAATCATGATCATGATTTTTACCGTCTATATCTATAGTTATACTCATCATCTTACATCGTTCACTTCGAAGATTTTCATAGCTTCTTATCTTCTTTGCACTTAACCTTCTTCTGCTTTCACCTCTTTCCGACTTTCTTCAAAAACTCTATCATCTTCTTACTGTTATGAATTCTTTTATCGGGTCTTTTGAGAATCCTGGTCTTTTCTTCTGTGGAGGCCTGAAGAGAAGCAAAGATAAAGAGGTTGACGACGATGATGATCCTTCCACGGTAAGCACCATCATACCCAAACATTTGAGCATCATTAATGACTTCCAAGAGAAGTTTCCCGCTGTGCATCCCTGGACTTGGGCTATTAGCAGGTATCCTTCTCCTATTCGCCCTTCCAGTATTCCTACTATGATGGAGGACTGTAACTACCAGACCTAAACATCATTGGTCCTGACCTGGTAGAGCAGGTTACCTTTACCAAGAAAGGTTTTATGTATGTCTATATATACCCCTTCACTTTGGGTCCGTTTTCTTCGAGCGGGGAACTTGACCCCGTGATCTTGGAGTTATGCCACCGGTACCAGGTCTGCTTGGCACAAGTATGCCCTTTTATATGGCGAATGGTGGCTTGTCTATACCGGCTCTGAATGAACAAGGAGAAAACCCTAACCCTGGCACATCTGATGAACCTCTACTCCCCCAAAATTTTTTGTAGGGTAGTAATAAATGTCCGTAAACGTGGTCATCACGCCCTACTTACCAGCACAGATGGTGATAACAACCGTGGATGGATGGAGTGGTTTATCATTATTTCTACTTGGGATATCATCCTGGCCACAACTCCATCATTTCATGAATCATGCACTCGTTCATGTAAGTTTGTGATTTATTCATCTCTTTCACTCGTAAAAGACTGCTTCCTATCATTATTGACCTCTTTGTTTTTGTTGTTTCAGCTATTCGGTAGACACCATCAAGGATTGAAGGCCTCGACCAATGGGTTCAGAAGATTTTAAATATTACTATGCCAAAAACCCGTCGGTGGAAGGAGATGACCTCCAAATATGGGTGGAAGGCCAAGAACCACGGTAAAGTGAGTCCTTCTCCTTTCTGCCTCTATATGTACATAAGTAAACTTGCTAACCATAACGTTTTGTTTTATTTAGGACTCCCATTTTTCTCTATTGCCTATCCCGAAGTTGAGGTTTTGCACGATCCTGTGAAGGCTGTCAGATTGTTGCAAAATGCTTTCACTCGGAGCGGTGCCCTCGGGTCTGCTTTTGGTGAAGACATTTCCTCTCGGAGTCCCCATCTAGAGAACAAGTGACCAAAAAGACAACGCTCTTCCTCGGATGGGGATAAAAACAAGAAAATAGACAAGGCCACACCTGAGCCGGCCGCGACCACCGTGGTCATTGAAGATGACGGGAAAGCTAGTGATGAAGAGGATTTCCTTCAATGCAGACAATGATCTTCATTAGCTCAATCAAGTGCTCAAATGAGAGATCTTTTAAAACTGAACGATGAAGAGGTTCGAGCATTGTACGGCGAGATGGATCTGGTTGATAATGCCAACTCCTGTTTTCCTATCCCCGTTATTGTTTTTGGTCCTGGGAGGTTAGAACTCGGGCCTTTTTTGCCTTTGGTTAATGAGCAACAAAAAATCAGCACTACTCCTGTTGAAGTTGCTTTTTAACATACAACACTAACAACTCCATGCCTTTTTGCACCAGTTGCAGATTCGCCATCAGTATCCACTGCCAACCACAGAGGCCCGAGAAGAGGATGGTTCTCCTCCCTAGTCCCCTGACCATGGGAATTTGGGGCAGAACTACTCACCCCCTTCTCCAGATCCCTGAGAGAGGAGGAGTGTCACTTTCTCGGTTTCAAAGGGGTGCCATATGTTGTCCAGGCTGGTGAAGCTTGCCAACTACCTGAAGTTGCTGGCTTTAAAGAAAGATAAGAAGAAGCTACACTCCTTTTTAGGGGAGTGTACGTTGAATAACGCCATGCACAATACAGCGCTAGTACCATACTTGTTCTCTTACTTATCTGTTATAATAGGGTTTTGGACTTTGATATACATTTTATAGGATAACGTCCTTGATTTCAAGGGCCTTTTGAGATTGATTCTTTATAAAGAGGGACTTATATCTGAATGGGATCAGCTGTTTTCTGAAAAGAATCAATTTGTTGGGCATCTTCCGGTGTTGGAGGCAAAGGATGCCGAAGCGGCTGAGCTTGAGGCTCGGTTGCAACAATGTGCGCAGGAAGTGATGGACCACAACCAATAAGCTACTCAGCTACATGCACAACTTCAAGATGCTAAGGCTAATGGGTTGAGCTTCAGGATATTGTTCTTGATACTGGTGAGCACGAGTGTGTTTCCGTTGAACGTGTGAATAATTTGGAGGCAGCCTTAAGCATCCGAAGAGGCTAATACCGTCAAGGAGAAGCGAGCACGAATTGAGGAAAGATTCAAGAAAATCATGGATCAATGCTCGCTTCACTTTTCCACATTTTGTGATCATGATTGCAGCCTCGTTGCCACGAGATTTGAGAGGGACGAACTTTTGCCGAGGTTGATAGACATAAGGCAAATCTCCAACTCTGGGGGGACTCCCTCGTCTTTGAGAAAACTTATGCCATATGTTATATGATGAGAAAAAACTTGGAGGAGGCCAAAGCTTGCATCATTGATATTTATGATGAAATTGTTAAGGCCCGAGCACTAGAGTTAACTGCTCAAGAACTCTCCTGGCTAAGCCTGACACAACTCACTCTTCGAGTACCGATTTCGAGTATTCGAGAACCGAGGAGGAGCTTGAAGAGAATGATGATGAAGGACCAGGTCCTGTATCAGCGGCCGATCCGCCCACTTCTTCCGGGGCGGGGGAGGGGAGCGTACATGCCTCTCTCCCCCGAGTTCCGGTGGCGATACTATTTAGATTTATCCTTTTTTTCTTTTGTTATTTTCATTTGTACTTATGCTGTTTGGCATTTCGATAAATAAAGAAAATTTTTGTTTGAATATTGGGAAAAGTTTTATTCTTTTTGCATAGAATTAGATAAGTCTTCCTGTGTATTTTCATTTAATAGCTTTATTTTCCAGGCATAAATCCTTGCGGAACCAACCCTTTACTATGAGGTTTCATAAGAGAGGACCCTCTTATATTTACGGTGTTCTTGAATAGG